GAGCTTTTCATAATCTGTAGTTTCTCCATGCGTAGCTTTTCATAAAATGCAGTTTCAACTGTGCTTTTTTTCCTCTAGAGTTTTCCCTTGCCTGGCTGTGTCTTGCCTTACTTTGGGGATTTGGGCTGTATTTTGAAATCTGAGGCTCTTTCTTTTTTTTTTGAAATCACCCCCTGGAGGGATGGCCATGCTGCAATCCCTTCTTTTCCATTCTCCTCTTGCGATTTTAGGCATGCACACACACAAGCTTTGCATGAGTTTTAAGCCACCAGGTCTGGGACTAGAACTGAGGTCGACTACATGGGAGTCTAGCAACATAAAAGCTATGCCATTTGCTGGTCCCCTCTTTTTTGTGGTCTTTTAAAAAATATTATTATTTTATTTACTTTTTAAAAGAGATTTTTGCTAGAGGGTGTGTGTACTCGCTGGAGAGACAAAGAGGTAAAAAGTGAGAAATCATTCTCCAGGGGGAATGGCCTCACTTCCATTCTCTTCTCGGGATTTTGGGCACACACAAACACACACACACATGCGTCTGGTGTGTTTTAAGCCACCAGATCCAGGACTTGAACCCCGGTTGAGTACACGGGAGTCCAGCAACATAACCATTATGTCATCTGCTGGTCCCTCTGTGTTTTTTAAAAGCCTGAGTACATTGAAAGGTTCACACTGGCTTGCTTGAAGGAACACACTGTAGCCAGAAGCCGAGGGGAACTCCTCAGATTTTTATTTATTTACCTATGTTTCCATTGAGCCATTTTTAAATTAAGATTTTGTCAGAGGGCATGTGTACTTGCTGGGGAGAGACACAGAGAGAGAAAGTGAGAAAGCATCTCTGTGGGGGATGATACACTGCAATCCCTTCTCCTCCATTTCTCCCTTTCAAAATGTTGAGCAGGCAAACCAGGCATGGTTTTCTTTTTTTAGAGAGGTTTTTGCTATAGGGTGTGTGTGCTTGCTGGAGAGACAGAGAGAGACAGAGAGAAAGTGAGAAATCATCCCCGGGGGTGGTGGTGGTGGTGATGCCACAATCCCTTCTCCATTCTCCTCTCGGGATTATGGGCACACACGCATATGTGCCCAGCATTGTTTTTTTTTTTGTTTTTTTTTTTTTTTTTTTTTTTGAGAGGTTTTTGCACTTGCCAGAAAGAGAGAGACAGAGAGATAGAAAGCAAAAAAATCACTCCCGGGGGGATGGCCACGCAGATCCCTCCTCCTCCTCCATTCTCCTCTCAGGATCTTGGGCATGCACGCACACACGCCTGGCATGAATTTAAGCCACTGGGTCTGGGACTCGAACTGCAGTCGGCTACATGGGAGTCCAGAGACATAGCCATTATGCTAACTGCTGGTCCCCCCAGCATGAGTTTTAAGCTGTTGGGTCCAGGACTTGAACCACAATGGACTACATGGGAGTCCAGTGACATAACCATTACACCATCAATGTGGGTCCCAACCTGGCACACTGAAAAATGTGTCTGGGACTTGAACCATGCAGTCAGTCAAGGGCAGTCCAGCCATCCCAATCACCACACCATTAGCTGGCCCAAGAATTTAAATAAGTGGGCATTTTAGCTTTAGTGGGTGTGAAGGAAGGCCTGGTGTAGACATGCTGCTTGTGGGAGGGCGACTGAGTGAGGGGTCAGGGAGTGGGATGGTGGGCCCGCCCTTTGGGAAAGTCCTGGACATGGTGTGGCGGTGGGAGGGAGGGGTGCTAAAGCTCACTCTGGAGGCTTAATGGAGAATGAGTTAGTCAGACGGAAGCTGCTGCAGCAGCTCTGGCTAGAAAGGATGGATGCCAGTGGGAACGCAGGCCGAATTTGAGGCTTATTATGGAGGTGAACTATTTCGATAGGACCTCGTGGGGTAAGCCAGAGGGCTGAATTAAGAATGACTCACTCATTTACTCATTTCCAACTTTCTGATTCCGATCACTGTGTAGATGATGGTGCCAACAGCTGAGGGAGGGGCGACTCTGAAGGCAAAGAATGAGGTGAGTTTGGGACTTGCTGAGCCCAGAGTGTTCCTGTGCTGTCTAGCTAGAATCGCCTGGCAGGCACTTGGATCTTTGGTTCTAAACACTGCGAAGAGCTCTAGGCTGGAGAGTGCTGATTGGGAAGTTGCAAAGTGAGGGTGGAGGAATCCCCCAAGAGTGAGTGGAGAAAGAAGAGCTGTGGGGTTAGAGTGGGGTCTGCCATGGAAGGGGAAGATTCATCATTGGCGTCACTGAAGGGTGCCACCACCAGAGGGGAGAAGGCTTATTTATGGCGACGAGCCACCCCAGGTGTCACATGTAGCGGAGAGATGAGGCTTTCCAGGTTTGGTAAAATGAAAGTCATGGGTTACTTTCTCCCCCAGGCAGGACGAAGACGGATGTGAGTGGGGCAAGAGGAGCCAGCCGGCCCCGGATTGCGAAATGAGGTGGGAGGCTGCCTGGGGTGACCACTGTTGAAGAGGTCTGCCTCAGAGGGAGAGACGCGCTTGGTAGCTAGTTGGAGAGGGCACTTACAATGGAGAGAGTTGGACTGATAGTTTTGTTTTTAGGGTTTAGAGTCCTGAGCTTGTTTAAATGCTTAGAGGAAACAGCCAGGGGTCAAGAGAGCTGGGAGAGGTGAAAGAGGTGGTTAGCGCCAACCCCACCCAGACTGCTTTCTTACCATTTGCCAAACACGGCCACACCCCTTTTCTCATTTAATCATTTCGCACGGCGAGGGTTAAAACAAATGGTGAGGTTTGGGGAAAAAAAAAAAAAGAGTCCAGGAGTCGGGAAGAGAGCTGTATGGTGCTGTCTACGAAATCAGCCCCACACAATGTAGGAGAACCAGGGGCGGCGTGCTCCTTGCTCCCTGGGGTGTTATCAGGGTCACAACGTGCAGTGGACCGAGGGCAGCGGCTCCCGAGAAGCGTCCAGAGATCGAATACCCCCAACCCGCGGCGAGGTGTCCCCAAGCATGGTAGACAGGGGCATGCGCACGTTGATCCCTCCTCTGAGACGCTCCGGCAGGCTCAAGCAGCCAAGAGTTCCGTTAGCCACAAGGTGGAACAGCCGGGATGAGCCGACCTGAAGGGCGCGGGCGAGGTAGACCGAGGTCCGGAGGATGGGCCGAGCCCGCGACAGCAGGTGGCTGTGCGCGCTCCTCGCTTCCCGCGCGCGCCTCGGAGGGACCGCGGCGAAAACCAAACCCGCGATTTGGATATCCGGCCGGGGCCGTGCCGGGAGATAAATCCTCTGTGGAGGGAAGTATTTAATCTGCATCGAGCGCTCTGTGTGTGTGTGTGTGTGTGTGCGTGTGTGTGTGTGTGTGTGTATGGGGGAGGGCGACAACTCCTTCCTGCCGGAGGCGATAGGTGGGCGCGTGGGAGCTGTCTTCACAGTACCGCTCCCAGTGCTCCGCCCGAGGCCGGCGCCGAGTCGGTTGTCAAATGCTAATTACAGCTTGTTTGGTTTGGGGGAGGCTAAAGGAAAGAGACCTGTACTGGCAGCTGGGATCTGCATTGCTCTCCACCACGCTAGTGCATGCGTCCTCCATGACTGAGACTGCAGCAGCTATGACCTACTCCCTGGGCCTCAGTTTCCCTGTTCCTAAAATGGGGACTGGACTATGACCCGTCTTTGCACAGCCGGGGGGCAAATTCGCCTCCCGCCAGAAAGAAGTCACCCTCAGCAGCGCTCCGCTCCACGCGCAGCGTCTTGAGGCCCTCCTTCCCCAGCGCCTCCCTACCGGTTCTTTCCTGGGCCCTCTCGGGGCACTGAGGCGGCGAGGTGGGCGGGGCGCGGCCTCGCAGGCCCCGCCCCCTCTGACGTCCCCTCCGCGCTGGGATGAGGCAATCACGTGACCTCATATCCGGCGCGGGAGTCCCGAGCTCGCCGCGCTGCCCCGCCCGCCGGCTCTCCCCGCAT